TGTGTGTGTGTGTGTGTGCACGGGGTGGGGTTTGGAAGGTTTGGTGGCGGACCGTGCACCAAGAGACGAGACAGACATTACTGTACAATACGAGAGCGTATTCATGTAAGTCTGTTTATGTATGGTGTATGTGTGTGTGTTTGTTATGCAAGTGTGTTTGTGCAGGGTGAATGTGTGTGCATGTGTTTATGTAACCATATCTGCGTATGTCTGTGAGGTAATACACGTTACTTGTTTCTTTTTCACCAATCCAACAGACGTACAGAAACAACAGACGGACAGAAACAACAGACAGACAAACAGAAACAACAGACTGACAGAGAGAAACAAACAGAAACAGACAGAAACAGACAGAAACAACAGACAGACAGAAACAACAGACAGAAACAACAGACAGAAACAACAGACAGACAGAAACAACAGACAGACAGACAGAAAAGACAGACAGACAGAAATAACAGACAGACAGAGAGAAACAGACAGAAACAACAGACTGACAGAGAGAAAAAGACAGAAATAGACAGAAACAACAGACAGAAACAACAGACAGAAACAACAGACAGAAACAACAGACAGACAGACAGAAAAGACAGACAGAAAAGACAGACAGTCAGACAGACAGACAGACAGACAGAACAGACAGAGAGAAAGAACGACGAAGAGAAAGCAAAGAAGACGTACTCCGACCCACAAGTGGCGCCCAACAACCACCTGCCCAATTTTCCAATTAACTAATTACCCCCACCAGACAACACATTGGAAGAACAAATGGGGTTTGCTTTTTTCTTCTTCATTCTTTCCTTCTTCCCTCCTTCCTTCCCTCCTTTTCTTCCGACTCACCTGCAGCAGCACCTGTGGTGGCCTTTGACCCGGGGTCTACCTTGGAGGTCGTGGTCTTGCTAGTGGTCCGGACATTTCCACCACCCGGCTTGTATCCGTCGTTGCGAGCATCAACGCCGTACTTCTTCTGCAACAGAATGAAAGAAAGGGGGAGGGGGAGGGAGAAGGGAGAAGGGGGAAGGGTTGTGGTTAGAGATACGTTTTTATTTTATATCAATACCGTTTTTTAAAAATCGTTTTCTTATTTTTTTTTTGCGTTTTCAAATCATAACATAAAAGCTGAAAGATATGGAGAACATACACAGAAGAGGTCAAAAGAAAGCTTTATAGTCTCACCTTGTTTCCTTTTGCTTGTTTGAAATAAATAGTTAGAAAGACGGGGTGGGAGAGGGACGGAGAAAGAGAAATGGGCGGGTAAGGGGGAAAGAGAAAAGAGTGGGGGG